TCCCTAGGAAACAATTAATCTTCCCTCTTTCGAAGCTCCAGTGTCTATTGTTTGCTTTCTTTTTGAATTATTCATTTTTATTTTTCTAGCTTGGGTTATTGTCATCCGATGTTTTTGTTATCATCTGAAGCTTTTCGATTTCCACTTGTTTGAGTTTCAATGAATAAAATGCAAGCGGTTCAATTAACTCCAAGGATTAAATAAGGGGATGACTCATAAAAACTAAAAAATAGAGGGGAGACCAAAGAATCGAAGAACAAGAGAGAGAGAGAGAGGGTGAAAGGATTGAAAACTCCCATTTGATCTAGAAAAGAAGTAAAACAAAATGGGGGGGGTTTGTTTTTGGGTTTTATCCTAGCTTGGTTCTTTTAGGGAAAAAAAAAAGGGAAACGTGAATTGGGCCAAACCCAACTCACGTTGGACGAAGGTCTGGCGATCCGACCTTAGTTTGGACGATGAAACAAGGAGGGAGGCCGGATGCGAGTCCGAGTCCTCCCAAACCTTTCCTTCGAAAAAAAGAGAGGGAGATTAGAAGTAAAGTTGGAGCTAATCCAGTTTGACCGAAGCAAAAGTGAAAATAACAAAAAAAAAAAAAAAAAAAAACAAGGCAAGTTAGGTTAGGATTGGTCCGGTTGGTTTAAAAAAAAAAAAAAGGAAAAAGGAAAGGAAACGAAATGGGTAGGAAAGTTATCATGGGTTTATGGTTTGGTGTCCAAAATCATTTCCTTGGATATTTTAATTTTTTTTTCATTCTCTCTTTTCCTCTTTAAGCCTAATTATTTTTTTTCCTCGTCGCTTCTTCATTAATTGAGGTTTTTAATTTTTTTTGTTATTAGATTAAAAAATAAAAAGTCCAAAATTTTGGCGAAGTCACCTACATGATGAGATTGACACCACAAAACAATATAAAAAATATATATCGAAAAAAATAATTTTGACGAAGTCTCGTATCCGATAGGGACCGACGTCACAAAAAAATATAAAATTTTCGATGAAGTCTACTATCCGATAGGGACCGAAGTCACCAAAAATCAATTGTTTAATCGGGATGTCCTCCGCCACGTTGGTTGTGTCAAGGTTTTTAGTGGATCCGATGTTTAAATCGACATGTCACCCGACGAAGGGGACCGACAATCGTTTCAATACGATGCCACACCCAAAATAAAAAATTTAGTTTAACTTTTTTAAAAAATAGGAGTTTAAAAATGAGAAAATAGTCCGACATGGATTTTTAGGAGATGAATTTAGGACTAAATCATACATGGTACTTTTTCGAAAAGGACACTTTTAGGTGATTAAATATCTTCCTAAAAGCGTAACCAACTCCTTACCTTAGTAATCTCCGAACCGAGTACTACTTTTTAGGTTCTTAGTTCCTTAAATACTAGGTGGCGACTCCGAACTCGTAAAAAAACTTGTAAATAATTAACTTAGCATAGATTTAATTTTTGGGGAGTCCTATCCGATGTCGTGTAGCGACATTTCTTTTTATGGTTTGATCGAAAAAATTCACTAGAATAACAATATTAGAAACTCCTTGAAAATACATGGATAAAACAAAAGGATATTATTTTAGCATTAATTTGAATAACAAAATAATAAGCTCATTTTAAAATATAAAGATATATTAAAAACTAATCCTATCATACAAGGTAAAACTGGATTATTTTCCTAAACTATTCTTTAAGAGTATTTATGTATAGTAACAGAATATGTGAAGAATGAAGCATAAATGGCTCAAGTCAAAACAACTCATATTCCTGGTGGAATTGTGAGTTGAATGAAATTTCTTCAAATGAAACTGAGTTGAAAAGCGGAACTTGTTGGCAAAAGGTGCAATTGAAGCAGGAAAGCAACTTTTGCAAAGGACTTGAAATGTGTATAATGAAGGTGGAAAACCCAAACAGATTGGTAACAACACACATGCAAGCCATCATCAATGAATGGAGAAAAAAAAGCAATAAAAAGGAAAAAGAAACAAAACTTGGTGGGCTTTTGCAATTAATTAAGGAAATGGCTAACGAAAGGGAAATATATATATATAATAAGTAAGCTTGGAATTCTTTGCTGGAAAGGATCCCCGTGTCCGTGGGAAAAGGAAAAAAGTGCGTAATAATTAGGCTTTAATGATTGTAAAAAAATATTATTATGCGTGGTGTATATTTATATAATAATTTGAATTTTTAATTTGTAATTATATTTTTAATTGTATTTATAATATTATTTAAATCTTAATTCTATCATTTTAATCTGTTTTTTCAACTATGGATAAATTTTTTGACCAGAATGTTCTTAACTTAAATACAAAAATAAAATAAATAAAATAAAATTTTCAAAACTTTCAAAATAGAACATGCATGTCATTTAACTTTAAATAATTATTTTATTTTATTTTAATCAGAAATATTTTCATAAAAAAATTTTGTCTGTATTCCAAAATAAAACATATAGTTCATATAACTTTAAATAATTTATTTTATTTTATTTTAATCAGAAGTATTTCTATAAAAAAAAATTTTCTGTGTTCAAATAAATAGATAAAAAAAATTATTTAAGAACACAATATATGTAATTCTAAACATACAATAGATTAAAGACTCATACTATTATATAAAACAAATTAACCTAACCTATTTATCCCATTATTATTTATAAAAGTTAAGTTAAAGTACATTGATCTTTTAGGTACGTGAGCTAGAAAAGGGTTTTGAATGGTTTAAAAGTTTGAACTTTTAAACAAAGTGGTATTAGATTCCTATACCTTTAAAAAAAAGTTTGAATTTTATGAATGTCATTTTAAAAATAAATAGATTTTATAAACTAGAAGAGATAATAGGAAAAGGACTAAGGATATCATGACACCTCTAAACTTTGAGAAACTTTAAAGTTTAATCCTAAAATTTTGATTTTTGTTTAATTATAACCTTAAAATTAAGATTTATGTTTTAGGAAATTAATATATATTTTTGCATCCCAAAAATTAAATATCGTCTCTGCAATCTTTTATTTGGTATTTAAATTTTTTTAACTGACACATTCAGTTTTAAAATTCTATCTTCACTTTTACGGCAATTAAAATGAATTTTCTTTTATTTTTCCTTTCTATTAAACTATATTTCTGATCAAGTTACAATATCATGAATGTGAATTGAGAATTTCCTTTCCTGAATCAGTAAATGATATTATTGGCATTTCTTACCACCGCAGCCATCATTACCACTACTTGCAGGAGCTTCACTATCACCTCCCCTCATGCTAACTTAGCTAAGACTAGCTTTTCTTTACACACATTATTCCACCATCAATTTACACCACCAACATTCAACAATCACAGACCAATACGAAACAAATTTTTATCCTAATTTATCATCCTCCACCTCTTTCCTTTATTGCCACTTTTCTTTTTCAATAGGTTGATGTGGCCATCAACATTACATTGGCCTTGCTTTGTACCTTTTTTTTTTCTTTTTGTTTTCATAAATAAGATCTTACAACCCACATCAGTTGTTAAATATTAAGATATTAATGTTAATAGTTAATAGTTATCGAGATAGAAAAAATAAATTCTATTTTCACGACGGACTGAATTATCCATTATTATAAAAATAAGGAGTTACTCTGAAATTTTTTGTAATAGAGTTTTTTTTTTTAAGTTTAAATATTCAAAAAAAAAAAAAAAAAAGAACTCGTGAATTATTGCAGTACAAAAAGCTCAACATTACATTGGTCTTGCTTTGTCTATTTGTGTCTTTTTATCAGATTACCTTATTTTGTTAATTAGATGTTTGTTTGCTCAATGTAATGGTAATTATAACATCAATTAATTATTACCTAAATAATCACATAAGTTTATTCCAAAAGAAATATTTGAATTTGTGAACTTTTGCAAGTACAAAAAACTCAACATTCATTCTTCCACATCACAATCTCTTTATTAAACAATGAACATTCATGAAATTCAATAACCACATCCGTCTTTCATAAAGAGAAAGTTTTATAAGTGCAAATCTTCTTATCAATCTATATATAGAAAATCTAATTAGAATTTTAACAACACTCAAAGAATATGATTGTAATAAACCAATAGTTATAACTCCATTAACATTAATGTTTTTTTCCTTTTTCAAAAGAACTGAATATCTTCTTTTTATTGCAAAAAAATCACCATAACAATCTTTGGACAAATTTATCAAGTTGAGTACCCCAAATTATTCAATACAATTAATATCTTTTTTTTATTTTTTTCTCATGTGTATTTGTTTCTTATCTCACCATTTTAATTGCATCTTATTAATGCCTATACATGACTATATTTCCACTGACGATATTCCCACAATGAATCACAAGAAAACAAGTACATGCATATACCAAGAGCATTGAATTTGGTTAGAGAATCCAGCAATATTCCCACAATGAATAATGATTTTTTTTTTCCAAATTACCATATGCTCCAATGAATTTTCCAAACAAGCTTCTACCATGTGATTTCTTATGAAATCCATTAGTGGAATCTATCCGTTAATGACTGAAATTTGGAAAAATTAATCAAATATTCATTTCAAGATGGATAATTTACATCTAACCTTCTTTCATCAGAATCTAGTGTCAAATCTAGGAAACAGCTCTCACTGGGATTTGTAAGTAATTAATTACATGGACCTGTCTAATTAGATTCCCGTCAAACATGAACCATAACTCCCCCTATTCCAACCTTGCTGCTGAAACGGTCACTCCTTTTATTTTATAATAGAAAAAGAAAATATTTTTTAATATTTATCTAAAGAAATAAGTTTTTAATTATCAGGTTTTATTTTTATTTTTTAATACATATCCAATAGAAAATTTCTGAATTTTTTATAATCTTTTATATCTTCAACATTGTAATCGCGCTATAAAAGCAGCACAAGCAAATCCCTTCTGTGCTCACGTCTCTATATAGACACAAAGACTTCCATAAACAAGCTCGAAACACAGAGAAGTTTTTCTTTGGTTTTTTGAACATGTCGTTGCTTTCAGATCTCATTAACCTTAACCTCTCAGACTCCACTGAGAAAATCATTGCTGAGTACATATGGTACTGCCTTCTTTACTTCCTACGCATTTTTTTTTTTTTTTTACTTCAATGTCTAGATATTTGTATGCATTTATGTGTTTCTGTTAAAGGGTTTACTATGTTTTAGTTTACTTCTTTGATTCTTTCTTGAAATCTCTCCCTTCTGAGGTTGTGGGATTTCTTTGTTTTCTTGTATTTGCAACTTTTCTTTTTCTTTCATGAATGATCAAAGATATGTTTGGTAAGCTGAGTGATTTTTTTGGTTCTTTAGTTTAGAATGAAGAATTTCTCCTTTCTTCTGAAAGAAAATGGAAGGTTCTACTTCTCCTTCTGCAGTTCTTGCCATTCCCTTGCTCCTGCTTCTGCTGTTCATAGTTTTCTTGTTTTGGATGGTTTTGCTTTATTTTTCTGTGTTTTGATTGTAATATTGAAATGACCTGACATGAACCAAAACATGTGTGTCATCTATACGAGTAGCCCATTACATCATTTACAAAGAACAGTCAAAGAACAGAGCACAAGGCCCTGCCCTGCTTCAGTTTTTTTTTTTTTTAAATGCTGTGATCGATTGCTGACACAATAAGATCCTCAATTTAGAGGAATCTTACGTTTGTTTTAAACAAATGTTTGCTTAAGGAGAAACTTTCATAATTCGATGCAAATAGTTTTAAATAGTTTCCGTTTCTTATGGTCATTAATAATGAAAAGCCAAGATTGGTATTTAATTGAATTCTGTTTGTTTCTAATAATTAATTTTTTCTTTGTTTGTATAATTTAAAAAAAGGGCTTAATATGGTTTTAGAATTAATGATCCCATGTTCTTGATTTTTCTTTGGAGGTTCAAGTTTTGTCCAGCTCTTATGGTAGTTAACATGGCTAAGCTCTGTTTTGATAAATCTTTAAAGTTGGAGGTTTTCTTGTTTGTAACCAAGCAAATAATCTATGCTTTTGTTTAATTCTTGAACAGGATTGGTGGATCTGGAATGGATGTGAGGAGCAAAGCAAGGGTATATAATTTTGTGTTTGTTATTCTTGTTCAAGCTTAAATAAAATTGTTTTTCTAATTTATTTTATTTTATGTACAGACTCTTCCCGGTCCGGTTAGTGATCCTTCAAAGCTTCCCAAGTGGAACTATGATGGTTCCAGCACAGGCCAGGCTCCTGGAGAAGACAGTGAAGTGATCCTATAGTAAGCTTTCGTTTTCTTCTCTTTGTGCTAATGTTGGACCACCTTGTACTTTGTAATGTTTTTTTTTTTTCCCAAATATTTCTGAACTTGTTCTATTTTTTGTAATGAAACAGTCCACAAGCTATTTTCAGGGATCCATTTAGGAGGGGCAATAACATCCTTGTGAGTTCTATTCTTTCCCATTATATCTTGCCTCTTGATATAGCTACCATAGCTGGGAGTCATTTTCTCTGACATTGATGCTGATTGGATAGGTCATATGCGATGCTTACACTCCTGCCGGCGAGCCTATTCCGACAAACAAGAGATGTGCTGCTGCAAAGATTTTCAGCAGTCCTGATGTTGTTGCCCAGGAGCCCTGGTATTTTTTATCTGCTAATTTCATTCTTTTTCCTTATAAGAATAACTAAAATATGATTTTGCTGTTATGATTAACTTGCAATCTGATAAAAAAAAAAACAGGTTTGGACTTGAGCAAGAATACACCTTGTTGCAGAAAGATGTTAAATGGCCTCTTGGCTGGCCTCTTGGTGGCTATCCTGGCCCTCAGGGACCATACTACTGTGGTGTTGGTGTTGACAAAGCCTTTGGCCGTGACATTGTTGATTCACATTACAAGGCTTGCTTGTATGCAGGCATCAACATTAGTGGAATCAACGGAGAAGTGATGCCAGGCCAGGTCAAATTAAAGAACTAACATTCCCCTTCTGCTATTTTGATATTACAGATCTAATTTAGATCCTTCGTGCTCTTGTTCTGTTTCGAAATATTAAACCATTTTCATTTTCTTGCAGTGGGAATTCCAAGTTGGACCTACAGTCGGTATCTCTGCCGGAGATGAATTATGGGCTGCTCGGTACATTTTGGAGGTAGTTTTTATGAACTTGACTAAAGAAGAAAGTACCGGTATTCCAATTTATCTCTAATGTCTATATTTATGTTAACAGAGGATTACTGAGGTTGCTGGAGTTGTGGTTTCATTTGATCCTAAGCCAATTCAGGTTACTTTTTGTTTTATTACGCACCCTTTATCTTTTTCAGTAGCTTTCATCGATTGAGCTCTCAAAAAATTGGACTTCTGTTTTGCCAGGGAGATTGGAATGGAGCTGGGGCACACACAAATTACAGGTACAACTTTGAAGCTTAATTTATCTGCTTCTTTGTTTCAAACTCTTAATATTCTTGGTCTCATACTTGAAAATTCTTCACATTTTCAGTACTAAGTCTATGAGAAATGAAGGAGGTTATGAAATCATCAAGAAAGCAATTGAAAAGCTTGGTCTGAGGCATAAAGAACACATTGCAGCCTATGGAGAAGGAAATGAGCGGAGACTCACAGGAAGACACGAAACAGCTGACATTAATACTTTCAAATGGGTAAGAGGAAGAACAAACAATTCCTTTGCTGAATAGTTTCATATTATAAGATGTCTGACATTAGTTTCTTTACATCTTGTCCGATTGACAGGGCGTTGCAAATCGGGGGCTTCTATTCGTGTCGGCCGCGACACAGAGAAAGAAGGAAAAGGGTATTTTGAGGACAGAAGGCCTGCTTCAAACATGGATCCATATGTTGTGACTTCCATGATTGCAGAAACCACCATCCTGTGGAAGCCATAAGAACCTCAACCAACCTCATACGAAATATTGCTGTTAGTTTTCTTTCCAAATGACCATGGAAAGATTTGTGTCAGTCGGATGGTTGTCTTTCAATCTGTTTCCCTTTGTATTTGAGGCAGCAAGTGGTTTATTACCTTCTTGCTTGCTTGCCTTATGATTCTGCCTTCTGTGTTGAATAATGTAGGGATTAATGTCAATCACTTCTATGGAAAGCCTGATTTCTAGTGCCTAGAAATGGATTAAAAGGTTTTCCTTTTGATGTAATGCAGATCGCATCTCAAGTTGTTACAAAACTTTATCTGTCAAAATAATTTTTTGTTGGTCTATAAAGTGTTGAATGTCTTCGACATGCATGCACTTTGATAAGAGGCTTTGATTGTGGATGGTTACGTCCTGCTTTTCTTTTTCTTGATTGTGCAGGCCAAGGACTCTCAAATTATTCATTTAGTTGTCTTATATTTTGCTTTGTAGTGGCTAGTACAGGGATTAGATAGGTTGTGATTTGTAATTCTATCCTACATTTTTCTTAGATTTATCCAAAATATTGATGCGTTTTGAGCTATACAATGAAGTAGTCCTCTCCCATTATGTAATCATAAAAAAATATTTTCTTTCACTAAGAATTTTGTTTTACTAAAAAACTAATTGAATTTTTTTTTTTTGAATCCTTCATAGTATTTCAGACCTAGAAACTCACATTCGGATGTATAAGACAAGGACATCTATCTAGAGAGTTTTTTGTATATATAAGAACTCGAATCTAAGACGATTTGCTTAAACAATTAGAGTTCATTTCAATCAAACTAATTCTTTTGAACATCTATCTAGAGAATTTTTTTATCTATAAGAACTCGAATCTAAGACTACTTGTTTAAACGATTAGAGTTCCTTTCAGCTAAACCAACTCTATTGAATTTAAAAAAAAAAAAAAAAACTAATTGAATGTATACTATGAGTTGTGTACAAAACATACAATATGATTATACAACTGACATCTAATATGATTATACTACCGTGAGACTAAACTAACTTGTATTTTAGTCTATATTTTTAAAAATAAAGTTGAGTTATTATTTTAATTGTATATTTAAAATTAATCAATATTTATTTAATCAAACAAAAAGAGTTAATCAATATTTAGTTTTCTCAGTACGTTGAGAACCCTATAGACATAATTATAGAAAGAACTCCTAAAGATTCGGATTTGAGTGGCTTCATCACAGCACTTGCTTTGTGACATGGGAAGCGGCTTTGCTTCGTGGAAGTGTCAAGTGGGCAAACCAGCCCATATGTGGCATGGACCTGCATGACATTATAAATTAATTCTTTTATTTGTGATAAATAAATTAATTAATCCTTTATATTTTAAAAATTAACTATTTAATTAATTTCGATCATGTTTAATTTAATATTAATTAATTTTAAAAAATATCATAATTTGTCATCAATATATATTTTACTTTTTTTATTTATTAAAACAGAAAATCAAAATAAATTAAAAATGAAATAATTGATTAAATTTCAAGAAAATTTTAAAATATAAATATTAAATAATTATTTTTGAAAAAAATTTAATTAATTCGTTTATTGAAATTAGAGGGATTAATTTATAATTTACTCTGAAATGGGCCACGCTAAGCACAACCCATATGGTACAGTAACTAGGCGATGGTTAACCCATCAAATTCATGGATTGGCCTAGGCTGGGGTGGAGATTTAAGCACATGGGCTGATCCAGGGGCTGGGATTCGAACTTATGATTTATGAAGGAAACAATGTTGTCCGCACCACTGGACTTAGGAATATAATATTTCTTGAAGTAAAACATCACACAAGATATTTATTTAGTAAATGGAATTATGAAAATTTTCCTTTCATCATTTCATGTGCTAAAAATATTATCAAATAATTAATGGGTACGGAAAATTATTTCACAACTTAAACGTTTTCATCAGATGAATTATAAGTTATATAAATCTTTTTTTTAGTGATTAAAAAAAAATATTATGTGTGAATCGAGTCCTATTTTTATATCTTTGTTCTGTTATATCTCTATTCTCCTCCTCCTTCTTGCTTGAACTCCAAATATGACCTAACATTTTTTTTTATGCCTTAGAATATTATTATTATATTATTATTTTTGGTATGCATTATTAAAAACCAAAAGATTTGGAATGAATTACTATTCATGATACTATTTATTAAGATTCGAATGCAATATTGACCTAGACTCATATATACTATTTATTTTCATTATGCAATGATATTTTTGTTATTTTTCAGTTTTTTAGGAGATTCATATACAAATTTGATATTATATTTTATTTTGGTCCTTGATATTTTTAAAAGATATTTTTGGTCCTTAAATGACCAAGCTCTCATGCTTGCTTTTTTGTTTTTTTCAGTATTTTATTTCATTTTTTTATTATTGAATTGGATATGAAAATTATGAAAAATCAATTTTTATTTTTTTGATATATATATAAAAAAGTAAATAAGACATGTGAATTCTAATTTTTAATTGATTATTTAAAAAAAACTTATTCAAAAATTTGTACATTGCGAAAATAAATCATATTTATTAATAAATAAAATTAAATAAAAAAAGAATAAAAAATTACTTGATGAGAATTTCTATAAGAAACGACAAATTGAAGAAATCAATTTTAAATAATAAGTATTATGTTTTTTTAATTATAAATTTATGACAATATAAAGAGGAATAAATTAAATAAAAAATTTTAATTAAATTTTATGAAATTAGACGAATTTTTTCTTTATCTTTAATTTTTTTATTTTAATTAATCAATAACATAATATAAATTATTAAATTAATTAAATATATTTTATTCGATTCGTAGTGTAGCAAGAGAAGCCTACTAGTAATATATACTAATAGCCCTGACAAGATAAAATAATAATAATGATGATAATGATGATGATGATTGAGAAGGACTAGTATTTGTAGCTGTAGCAATTAGGACCGAGAATTTATGTTGGGTAGGAAAAGGGCCGCTCACCCAGTGCAAGTCCTTAGCTAGATCTGCAGTCTTATTTACGGATTGAATCTGGACTAAAAGATGTGAAATCAGTTAAGAATAGAAATGCTCCTAAACCTAACATAATTATTGAAAAATAGATTTATAATTTAGAAGTTATAAATAAAATTTAAATTTAGCATTTCAAAGTAATGTAGAAATTAAGTTTTTTTTAATTGATTATAAAATTAATTTGTTTAATATCTTTCAATATTATACTATAAACTAAAGTAAAATGATTTTTCACTATAACAGTAAATAGTGAAAAAAATAGTAATAAACAATGTTTAACATTATTCATTATTGTGCTTTGGTTTTTTTTTTTTGGCCTGTACCTCGGCCTTCTTTCCCCTTTTTTGTTTCGTTCTATCGTTTATTTGAATAGTAAATGACTTGCCTCTTTTTTTCTTTTCTTTCTAAACACTGAACATTTTTCTTTTAAATTTCTGTTCGTTTATTGTTCACATGAACAGTCAACGGTTGCCCCCCTTTTTTTTCTAAACATTGAACTTTTTTTTTAATTTTCATTTCTTAATTTTGTTGAGTGTTAAAATTTTAAAGTAACCAATAATTAATTGAGTGTTAAAATTTTAAAGAAACCAATAATTTTTTTCTTTTATTATTTATTTCTAAAATTTAAAATATCTAATTTTTCTTTTGGTGTGATCATTTTTTTATTTCCGTTTCTAAAAAGTGAATAGGTTTTTTTTTTTTTTTTAATTTTCGTTTCTGAATAATGTTGGATGTTGAAATTTTAAAGGAACCAACAATTCATTTCCTTTATTATTTATTTCTAAAGTTTAAAATATCTAATTTGAAAAAAAAAGTACATATATTATAATAAAGAATTTTATTACTCATAGTTTGTCATTTATTACTATTTTCATTAATTTGTCATTTCTTTTAAATTCTCATCCAATTAATTTAAAATCATATTTACTCATAGTTATGATTTATTTTAATATTATTCATCCAATTAATAAAAATTAAATTCATATTTTTTTCAAAAATCAATATTCTCATCAAAATGGAAAAAAATATATATTTGTTCAATTCTATGTAATATTTTAGTAATTGTTATTTTTGTTTTTCGACACAATCTTATAAAATACTAAAGTTTTTTTTTAAAATTATTTAATTTTCTTTTTAGTTAATAATCTATGGATTAACAAGAATAAATCCTTTTTGTAAAGAAAAAATTATGAAAAACAAAAATAAGAAATAGTTAAATAAAAAATTTTGATTAAAAAGTTATAATTACTTTTTTATCTTTGATTTCATATATTGTTATAGATTCATACCATAAAATAAATTATTAAATTGAAATAATTTTTCTAAATAATTTTATATATTTTATCCAACCAACATAATAGCGTGAGGCAAAAATCTAATTTTCACTGCAAAAGAATGAGAACGTATATTTTATACAAATTAAATTGATTTTGAATTGCATAATATTTTACTATTTATTACTGGTCTACTGGACCACTGGCTCCATCTTGTTCCTTCCCAAAATTTCTTGGCCCAAACCCAACATAACCAGCAACATATGACCAACTCTCGCGCCAATCTTCAACTTCAACGGCCTCCAAGCCCCTTTCCCGCCTTTTTTATTTTTCTACGCATACTTTATTCCAGGTCAGCCATCCTTCCTCTTCAAGGGCTATAACTTTCAACTCTAATGTCAAAATCTAAGAAACCCATTTCAATTTCACTTTCAGATGTCGGAAACCCAATTTGACTTTTTCAAGAACTGAATTTTCCAAGCTTAACTTCTGATTCTTCTTTCATTTTTAGTTTTCAGTTTATTGTAACATGTGAGATCATTAACAAGTAACGAGGATGTTGTTGATGGAGGTATTTGGTAATGTAGTTTATGTATTTGTAGAAAGTCCTTGCTCAGTCCAATTGTAACAAAAGAATTTGTCACTTCTTCAATTTGGCAGACTAAAGCAATACCATTAGGAGGTAGAATCTTTTCAAGCTTCCGAGGTCAGCTTCTGTTCCTTAAACTAAGTTTAAAAGTTCATTAGAACAATAACTAACAGAAAAAACTATTGAAAGCAGAAAATGAAACAGAAGAGTTATCTTCAGGGAAGCAAACTTGGAAATTTTGTTAAGAATGCCTTGAAGAAATTGATGAAAGGACCTCATTGGCATCAATGTATGGGAAGTCATGAGTGATAG